TGAGCAGTGCCCGAGGCTGGCGCTGGCACGTGGCACGTGCCGTGCCTCTCTGTACCCAGCCCAGTGCCTGCTGCAGCCCTTCCACAGTGGTGCTCCCCTCCCTTCACCCTCACTGGGTCCTGCCACCCATCTGCTCTGCCTCTCCTTGTGTCCCTAGTATGGCAGGTGTTAGAAAAGGGATCCTTGGTCTGCTCTGCCACAAGTGGGGGTGGGGGGTGCCTTGATGAGGAGGGGAAAGGATGCTCAAGGTGTCAGAAAAGATCTCAAACTCCTGACATGTCTGTCGTGAACTTCAAAAGAGCATAGTGTAATTGACTTTGCGGTTCCCAAAATAAAAGTTAAATTCCAACCACCCAGCTCAACCTCCCCACCATCAAGTCTAGTGTCCCCTTTTCTTCCTCATATTAAAGCTCACCTTTGGCAGAGGTTTCTGGAAGGCCTGCATTGCCAGGAGTAGGGGTGCTGCTGTCGTCCAGTTATAATATCTAACGGGGAACAATGAAACAGATGTCAAAAAACCAAGGATCAGACCAAAAACCTTTCTAATATCAAGCAAAGCAGTCATAGAAAGCTCTAGAACCCCAGCAAGGTCCTTAGGAAGCTCAATACTGTTGCTATATCCCCCTACCCACTCACCCCGAGCAAAGATTCTCCTTCTTCCCTTGACCCCACTGGCCATAGTGAGGGGCCCAGCAGCAGGTGTGCCAACAGGACAGACAGCAGGACATGCCTGGCAACCCCAGCTGCCAGCCGTCAGCAGCCCACCCGTGCACTCACTGATCAAACCACAGCCTGCCTGTGGCACACACTGCCACCTTTCAGGTAAAGGGCAGCGCAAGTTAACATGTAAAGTGTCCACAGCTCCCACTTAGGGAGAAAGCTTGTTAACCATCTGCAAAAATGCCTACACGTCTGTCCTTTGACCTCAGATAATAAAGTCCATAAAGGGATGGAAATGCAGGTTACACCATTATATCCCCGTGCTGTGCAGGACGTCACACGTTCAGTTATAAAATCCAGTGCAGATGAATATCAAAACCCCTAAGACTGACAGCTACACAGCCTTTTGGCTGTGTTGCCAATTCTCCTGGCATAGACGTCCGCCAATAGTGAAGAAAAAATAATGCAGTTTAACAAAGATTTTACTTTGGGCCAGGCACAGAGGCTCATGCCTGTAATCCTAGCACTCTGGGAGGCCAATGAGGGTGGATTGTTTGAGCTCAAGAGTTCGAGACCAGCCTGAGCAAGAGCAAGACCCCCCCCCATCTCGGGTGCTGTGGGCACCTACAGTCCCAGCTACTCAGAAGGCTGAGCAAAAGGGTCACTTAAGGCCAAGAGTTTGAGGTTGCTGTGAGCAATGACACCACAGCACTCTACTGAGGATGACAAAGTAAGACTCTGTTTCAAAAAAAAAAAATTGACTTTGTATACAACAGCTATGGGAAGGCACCAAGGCACGTGTGTGGCTGTTTTTCATATTACACGGCTGGATACATCCTGGACAGCTCGTTACTTCTGACTTCACGTCCAGATCTCTGTATTTTAGAAAATGAAACTGAAACAGTACAATGCAATTGCCTACATGACTTTTCAGGGGTACTTACTTATTCCCAATCTTCACCACAAGATTGGGGTCATCGATAATAGCGGGATTGTCCACAAACTGTTGATAGGACACAGCCTGTTCCAAAAACGCATCTATGACAGTGATCATGGGGCATAAGGGAAAAAGAAAAAGGAAATTCAGTTCGCAATTTGGTCTATTTTTCTTGTCTTTTTTTTTTCTTTTTTCCTTTATTTTTTATTTCACTAGATTTAGGGGGACAAGTGGTTTTTGTCACATGGACGTATTATACAAGTACACAGGTCTGTATCTCCTTGAATCTCTCACTCGTGTTTTCTGAGAGTTTGTGCATCCAAGCCGTGTGGACGACCCTGGAAAGTGTACGAAACCCACTCGGTAATGGGAGCGTCATTCTGTTTGGGGGCAGCGATGTCTGTGCAGAAATGAAGGGAGGCTGTGGGCAAGACCGAGGACCCAGGGAGGGGTGCCCTGAGTGATGGCAGCTGCATCCACTCAGGGGCAGGGTGTGGAAACCAGCCCCACGTGCATCTGTGGAGACACAGCAATGGTTACGTGGGGCTCAGGAGCCGGGCTACCTCGGGTTAAGTCATAGTTATTAGGGTGACTTCGGATAAGATCTTCATCTCCCCAAGCCCAGCCCTCTCCTCTGCAGCATTGGGACAACAGTCTCATCCATTTCCCAGAGTGCCTGTGAGGACTGACAAGGTCACCAACAGGAAGCCCTGACAAAAGTAAGGACTGGATCAATGTCAGCGGCCATGATGGACACCATCACCTGCAGAGGTGGAGGGGGAGTTGTGTGTGAAGACTGCACGCTGGCCGTGCCCAGCCCAGCAGGAGGCAGCCCCACTGTGGCCAGTGCTGACAGGAAGGTGGCAGGGTCAGGTTCTTGGACAGGATCTATGCCCAGGCCCTGGCTTCACTGAAGTTCCTGCATTCAGCAGGACCGTGACCAGGGCTCTGACTACCTCCAACCCCCACATGGGAGGTCCCTGAGAAGAACCAAGACCCAGCTGACATGGTGCACTGAGAATCATTGTCTGGGAAGGAAGACCCCTGCCCATGATTCCAATCCAGACAGCTCCACATGTGCCCTCACTGGGAATCCTACCCCAAACCTCTAGGTCTACCCCCTAGGGCTCCTGGCCTTGAGAACTGGTCTCATCTGTGTGGACAGGACACTCAAAGACTCCAAGACTCTGAGTGGACACTCAGACAATGGCTCCTTATCCCCCATGCTACCGCCCTGCCCCCGGGACCTGCACGTGCACAGGCAGGATGCTGACAGGACTCGGCCTCCTCACGTCCACACTGGTCCAGCGTGACGGGCTGGATATGAGATGTGTGGTCCTGGGAAAACTGTTTGCAATGAACAGATCAGCTGGGTACAGGAAGCAACCCTGTTTCAGCTCAGGACAGAGTGAAGGACTGGTTGGTTCAAAGCCCTGAAGGAACTTCAGGACAGAGACAGGAGTCCAGGGCAGCAGCCCTGGCGGGAAGGGGAAATGGAGGTGGCCCAGAAGAGGCAGTGGGGTTGACATACATGGCCTGAGAGACAGGCCTCAGGAAGATGGAAAGAGAAAGTGGTGGAAGACGGTGGAGAAGGCGGGCCGGGCAAGTAGGTCCAGTCCCAGAGTCCAGCCGCTGATAACTGCTGATGGTGCCAGCTCGGGAGCTTGGGCACAGCTCACCACGGAGCTGTCATGAGACACTGCTGCCCACATGGCAGGTGCTCTGAATTCATCACCTGAGCCTGTTCCAATGGCACCCTTCAAATCTAGCCAGGAAGCCTCCAGGACTCTCTCAGACAAAGCCTACCCTCCCTCTGAGACCCTAGAGCATCTCTCCCACACCTCAGATGACCCTGTTTTAATAAGACAACCATTCCCACTGGGCTGGGGCACAGAACACAGAGTGGGGCTCTACCAACGTGCCTGAAGGATGGCCTTGTCACTGCCCAAAACCACGTGCAACCAACCAACAGAACCCTGAGCTCAGCTAACTGCACGCCAGAAACATCTGGGCGGTGAACACAATGAGTCATCTGTGCTGCCACCAACCCCAGGCAAAGAAAAGGCGCCAGTGACAGGAGCTCATCGGACCAGAGCCTCCGGCCTTCTGACCAGCGGCCACTAGAGGGCGCTCTCAGCGCGCGGTCGCGGTACCTTTCGTGATCTCCCTGTTGTCGTTGAGGCCCCCGCAGAGGGAGATGGCGATGGAAGGGAGGTCCCTCAGGCCGTCCGAAGTGCTCTCCACGCCACTGTCCGCGCCCGAACTGCCCACGGACTGCGGGGACTGGTTGGCAGACCGGGCTCCGTTGTCGCTGGCGTGTTTGGCGAGCCCGGGAGGGTCTCCGCTGGAGGGAGGGAAAGTGGAGGACGTTCAGGGCTTTCCCTATTCCTGGCCCATCACCATCGTCACCGGGCTCTCTAGAGGGCCGCCACCCTGCACAGCAGCAGCCAGTTTT